CTATTAATTTTATTTAAATGCCAATTAGAAGTATATATCTATTCATAATTTTGTTAATACAAAAAAAAGAAAGAAAGGAAAAAACTGTTATATATCACGAGATTAATTTATGTATATGTTTTAAAAAAATCAACATGTTGAAAAAATAAAGAAAAAATATGTTATATATTCTTTTCCTTTTAAATATTGAAAGTATATTTCCTTTATTATTTTGCTAATACCAAAAAAAATAAAATAAAACAACTATATATCACAGGATTAATTTATACATATTTAAAAAAATTCAACATGTTTAAAAAAAAAGAAATATTATATACTTAAGGGGTCAATCTCGTCATTTAACTAGCTAATTCGAATGACTTAATCCATCCATTTTTATCCCACATCCCCATAGTATAGAGTTACCCTACATATGGGAGACTATTAGTCCGACCTTCATTTTTCAATCTAAGCGTTAAACTAATTATTCCATTAAATATGGAGTCCAATCCCATAGTTGTATCTCACCAAATAAATACCCTTAATTATTTTATATTTGTCGATCTAGGGTTTTATTATCAACTCTACGACCTTTCTTTTTTCTTGATTATCTACTCTATTACTCATTGTAACTTTCGTAAAAGTATGCCAAGTCACTTGACTGGTACGAATTCTTTTAAATTTTAAATTAAACTATTTTAATGATATAATTTTAGACTTAATTATAATTTTGATAGGTTTGATTTACATATCTCTATATTTTATCCTACCTTGTCAATGCTTCCCAATTTTTTTTTTTATTATTATTAAAATCAAATTAAAACAAATATAATCGAGTTAGGTAATTTAGCCATCCCTAAGTCTAGTGGAGTAACTTATGAGAGAAAGATGAAGTTTGGTGGCTGGCGAAAAAAGAAAGTGATTCCAACTCAAATAAAAGGCCGGGCCAAGATGAAGTTTGGTGGCTGGAGAGTATGATTTTTAGTTAAAAAGATATTATAAGTTGTCAATTATCTCACTATTTTTTTACATATTTTTTTCATAAGAAATTAAAATATCAATTAAAATAATCAATTTTCAAACAAGACTTAAATCGCGAGTTTATTAAGTACAATAGCTTTTGAATTAAATAAGGTCATGAGGAAAGGATACTGTTAGGATCAAGCGTTAACTATCTCACCAAAACTCATAGATAGTGGTGAAGGGGTAACTTTATTTTCTTAAGAAGTACAACGTCAAGCGCCACAAGTCAATTGTGACTTGGTCTTAGCTCTGACCTTCACCACGGCAGCATGTTGGCCCAAACCCAGGCCAATAATCCCCCTAGCAAGCAGTATGTCATCAGAGGGAATCAAATTTGAAACCTTTCTTTAATACCAATTGTTAGGATCACACGCTTACCATCTCACCAAAACACATAGCTAATGATGAAGGCGCAACTTTATTCTCTTAAAAGGTATAACACCAAGCGTCACAAATAGACTGTGACTCTCCTCTACAACAGCATACTGGCCCAAACCCAAGCCAATGGATACGACATACCCCTTTTCACACATGCCATTGGACAACAGGAGAGAAACCAAACTAGAAGTAAAAGTTAGAATCATTGGGGGTGTTTGTTTAGGCTTTTTTGAGCCAACTTATATCTTCTGGCTTTTGAAAATTTATTTTGGACTGTTTGGTTAAATTTATTTCAAACAGTTTCTGATTCTAACAACTTATTTTAAGTCAAAAAAACTGATTCTGAGAAATTGTTCACCATTTGTTTCTGATTATCAGCTTCTGCTGTGGACATGTTAATTTATGGTTATACTCTTAGATTTTTTTTATTTTTTATTTTTTTAAAAATAGAAAAAGACTCAAATGGACTATAGAATATTATTATTATTTTTTATGAGAAATGTATACAAGTAGTGAATAATAAAAAATAAAAGTTAATTGAAAAAGTTACTTCACAGCTTATTTAACAAACATTACTCAGCAACTTAAATCTATAATCCAGCAGTTACACCAAATAGATTAACAGTTTCTGATTAAAGTCATAATCTATAATCTGTTAAACTATAATCTATAGCCCCCATTTGGTAGAGCTGTGGAAAAGTGCTTATAGATTATAACTTAACAGATTATGGCTTATAACTGTGAACATAAGCTGTTAACATATTTGGTGCAGCAGTGAGATTATAGATTTAAGCAGCAGAGTAGCGTTTGGTTAATAAGCTGTACAATAGTTTTTTACTGTATAATTATCCTTTCTATCCTTATATGATATAAAAATGATTATTTTGTCATTTTTTTAAGTTTTAAATTTTATTAATAAAAGTTAATATAATTAGTATTAATTAGTATCAATTAATATAAAAATTAATACATTTGCTAAAAATGAATGGAAGTATTATTGTCACAATTATTTTTCATTATAAATTAATTAGTATCAATTAATACTAAAATTATTAATTAGTATTAATTAATGGCTTAATTAGTCTCGATTAATACTAAAATTATTAATTAGTATAAATTAATATTAATATTTAATTTTTATTAATATCAATTAATATTAATAATCAACAATTGTTATTAATTAATATCAATTAATAATTAATTCATTACAAAAGAATACAATATTAATTTATTAATAATTAATTTTTAATTAATATAAAAATATACAATATGAATTTATTAATAATTAATACCAATTAATATTTATTTTTCAATTAATATTGATTTTTTTTTTCTTCAAAAATATACAATTTTTTATTTTTTTTAATTAATATTAACATTAATTAATATTATTTGGATATTGACGAGCGCTTTTAAGTAATTTTACCCCCCACACCAGCTGTGCGCTTAAGTAAAAAATTTAAGCACTCCCTGACCAGTTTTTGAGATAAGCTGAGAAATAGCTTGATTTAAGCTATAAGCTAGTTAATTTAAGTTGCACCAAATACAATATTTTAACTTAAATTAAGTTAAAAGCTGAAATAAACAACTTATAAGTTTTACCAAACAGGCCTATAATCTGTTTTAATAATTACACCAAACGGAGTCATTGTCAAGCACCACATAATCAAAATTGTATCTACCGTGTTGAATCCAAAACTTATCTTGCGGAATCAATTATGATAGTACCCTTTGATTTGTTATAGCACCTATCTCATCCTCATAGTGGACCATTTTTGGGAGTTGGAGACCACAATTGTGTTTTACATGTAGTTTGTTTGGTTGCGATGAGAGAGAGTGGTGTGGTGGGGATAGGTGGAGGAGGGGGCTCCATTCCATTTGTGTCATACCCTGTTCCACCAGCCAACTTGACTTTGAGAGACACTGACAATTCATCGAAGAAAGACATCAAAGGTTGAGTACTATTGTGTGAACAAAGAACATGGGAAGTAGTTATGAAAGGAGTGACTACCAAAACATGATACGTAAGACTTCCTAGTCATGCAGTCCATGTAACCATGGATTGGGAGGTCCACTCACCACTAGCTTTTGCTCCAAGGTATTTAGAATCAAATCACAACACCATCTTTCTATGATCCTATGACCATGAGATCTATGAATATATGAATCTCTTGTCTTAATTTCAACTGAATGTCACCACTCTAAAGTTAAGGTAATCCAACAATCCTACTGGAAGGAAAAAGAGAATCTACCAATTTTCTGTCATTAATTTTTCCTGTATTTATTATTTTATTTTTTTTCTATTCTTCCACAAATTCAAGATTCAAACATAACCAAGAGCTTTGGATTTTACTTACTTGTTCTTTGACTCAACATTTTGTCCCACGCTTGTAGTGTTACCATATTAGCGCAATTTGAATCCAATGTTAACTTCATTAAAATTTAAAAATCTTGAAATAATTTAAAAAAAAACAAAGTACATTGAATTCAAATAATAACGATGTGAAAGTATTAGAAAAGTGGAACAAAGGATCTGAAGCCCGATCCTAGAACATTTTTAGATTTAATGCTAAGTATTAGATACATTGTGGGTGTTTGGGAAGTGGATTTTTTTGTAAGATTTTTTTAGTTGTAAGATATTATTAGAGAAAAAAAGTATTTGGAAAGATAGTTGGATTTTTTTGTGGTTAGATGTGATATTTGTGAGAGAAAAAGTAAAATAATTATGGGGCTTGATGTGATATTTTGTTTGGATTTTTTTTTTTTTTTTGATTTTGTAACTAATTTGTCTTTTAGTGAAGAAAAAAAAAAAACTTTAAAACTAACTTCCCAAACACCCCCATTTTATTAATTGATTTATAAGGCAAAAGATTCTTTGTTCGGATCTCTTATCTCTCTGTCTCATGACTCCATTTCACTAAACGAATATATGCGAGAGACCCAACTTATAAATAAGAAATGACTTGAAATAAGATAGATACTGGAGATCCAACCGTTATTTAAAAATCTACCATTATTTTTTACCTCTACCCACTAACTCAATCTAAATTCTTAACTTTAATTTTTCTTATTGGCAAAGAAAATTCTTTATTAATGAAACACGAAGTATAGAATACAAAAGCAACATTAATAAAGAGAAGTGAATGCACAAAGTATCATAAGAAAGCAAATCCATCCCAATTAGATTAACACTGATAAGCTAACCTAATCATATTCAAGCACAACACCAAAGTTGGTGAGGAACCAAGTAGAACACCACAAAAAATACATCAAAACACACAAGTCCTACTGATAAGCTAGCACAATATAAATTCTAAACTTATGATATTCTAGTAGAGTAATACTATATGTAAACAATTTTTTTTTTACTACTAGACACAATGGTAATGATAATAGGGTCACATTAATATATAGAGTCTCATGCATTTGTGTCTAATTTTAAAAGAATCAAGATAGATATTTGTTTATGAACGCCATTTTCCATTTCAATTATTGGAGCTTGGTTAGTTAGGTTTCATTTATGTCCATCATTGTCACCCTCCACTTGATCCCAATGCAAAGGAAAGCCCAAAAAAAAAAAAAAAGTACTAGCCAGAAATAGTAGAAGAAGAAGAACTAACCTAAAATTAGGGGTGTGGTGGACCTTCCTCTTCCTGCAATTGATGTAATGTTGCAGCCCAAACTCATGAAGCTCAGATGGTTGGCTAGGGACCTTGACCCTCCTGTTGGCAAATGCATTGACAATGACTTTAACCATGTCTTCACCTGGGCTCTTTGTCTTCCTAACCTTGTGCCTATAAGTAGGAACACCAATGTAGAATATCAATAAGGACACAATGAGTCCTACTGTAGGGACACCATACCCTAAACCCCAACCCAAGTTCTCTTGAATGTAGACAAGGCCAAGGGTGGCTACGAGTCCACCAGTCAAGGAGCTGAACATCCACCAATTGAAGAAAGAGACCTTGAGCTTCTTTTCATGGGGGTTGAAGTCATCAAACTGGTCTGCACCAAAGGTGGAGATGTTGGGTTTTGTTCCACCAGCACCAACTGCTACGATGTAAAGAGCTGAGTAGAAGAATGCTGTTTGGGATGATGAGGCCTTGCATACCCCATTTGTGCATGTTGGTTTCCAAAATTTAATTGACACTGACATTGTCAGAAGTACCATTCCCTGTAGTTGAGATCATTTTAAATGACTTGGTTGGCTTTACAATCAAGAAGGCCAAAGTGAAATAAAAATTGAATACATGTACAGCCATAAATGATAAATGTGCAAAAATTGTCTTGTGATCCGGCATTACGATTATAGTTTTAAATAATAGTATCGAGATATTAGTTTTGGCGGTACAATTAAATATCAAATAATATCAAACTTATATATCAGATCAGTTTTAGAAGTTAAAAATCCTAATACAGCTGATATTTAAAATCCTAGTCACAACATCAAACATATTCCCACTAATTCTAGTTGTCTAAATCAGCAAAAGTGAAACCTAAGCGAGGTCTCAACTGTCCGTCTTCCTAAGGAGGTTGATCTGAGAAAGTGAGCCACCGAGCGAGGCTTCACCTTTCCATCTTCTGATCCAATGAAATGGACTTGTGGCTTAATTTTGTTGATTTAATTGATTGGGATCAAAATTAACAAGATGGTTCAACACTACTGAAAATGCACTCCAACAATAGCTAGCTAGTTTGTTCCAATGGAATTGATGAATTGGTTGGTATATATTTTCATGAAATAAAAAAGAGAAGAGAACTTTGTTTGGGCTATCAGCTATGTGAGCTTGCAGAAGATATATGTAAACATATATCGTTTGAAAATTACAATTTTACTTAAAAAGGGATTTTCTTGGTAAACAATTAAGGAGAAAAAAGGAAAAGAAAATGTCTAGAAAAAAAAATTAAAATCTGACTACATGTCATTGCAACAATTCAACAACTATCATAAATAATACATAGACATTCTTTCTAGTAATGATTATGGCAAATGCAACAGTTTTTATGGTTTTCTTTGATGAGTACAACTGTACAAAATTCATATCACTTTCAATCAATTGAAAATCATTTTCGTTTTTCTGTCAACTCAAGCATTAAAGGAAAAACCACTGTATTAGCTTATTAATACAAATCATGTGGACGAGATATTTATAGATCATTTCTCGATGAGAGGATGATCGAGAAAGCCAAGCCAGAGCATGGACAACTGAACAATCCACGTCAACTGAATAACAAGAATAGTAGCTTTGCATGATGATAGAGATCATGAAAAAAATATTATGAAAATGATCATGATTCTCCATCCTTGAATTACAAATTGAATAACACTAAGGATCATGATAAAAAAATCATGAAACGCTTTATGAAGATTTTTAATTATTTGATTAGTGTGTGGTGTTTTTTTGTATGTATAATCTAACGGTGGAGAATCTTTCATGGTCATTTTTATGATATTTTTTCATGATACCTAACATTACTCTTACAAATACAGTGAAATACCACATACTAATTAAATGTTGAAAAATTTTCATGAAACATTTCATGATATTTTTTTCATAATCTCTAATATTATTCTTTGTAAAGTAGGAGAACACATCTCACTCTAAGTAATTCAGTTAGAGAGATATGTATGTATAGGTTATATGAGTGTTTGTTAGATAATAGTTAGAGAGGTTTTAGTATTGTATAAATATCTGTGTAATACTTCATTTTTTGAATAAGATTGAATAACTCAAATCTTCATCGTTTCTAACTCATGTATATTATGATCAACCAAAAAAATAAAATAAATAAACCTCACGGATAATTTTATTTGCAATTTGCAACTAGAGGAAATAAATGTTTTTATAATTCGCATTGACAGTCCAATGATTGAGAGAGTCCTAGAAAAAATTGTAACCACATATATTTTAAGTGCAAAAGCAGCAAAATTCAGACTAATTGATGAACATGATTAATCCATAATTGTGTATGTTTGATGGGATTAGTCTTGCATTCGAAACTCCCCACAGGGGACATGATGAATACTCACTTTAAATATATATATATATATTTTCTATGAGCATAATGCAAAGATAGGCATGTGCGTGTAAAATCAGTCAGTCAGAGGGTTTGTTTGATATAAGTTTATAAAAAAAATTCATAGTCAGAAAAAAAAATTTAATAGGGTAAATTATAAATATATCCTTAAAGTTTGATTAAAATACGAATCGTTTCTTGTAATTTTAGAAATTACATTCCATTCCCTGAGATTTTTAATTTCATAACAAATCGTCTATTTTATTAATAAATTATCAAGTCAATTATCAGTTTTTAATAATGTTATAAATATGTTTCAATTATCATTTAAGTAATTTTATTATTATATAAGAGAGCAATTATAAATTTTTTTTTAATTAATTCTATTAAATAAAAAATACTAATAAGGAGATATTTATAATTTTTTAAATCACAAAGAACAATCTATACTTTATGTAAATCTCAGAGAGTATATTTATAATTTATCCAATTTAAAAATATCAATTTCTCAACTTTCAAATAATTCACTTTTAGTTTTGGCTTGTAAATTACATACACAAATTACACTAGACACTCTAATATAAAATAAAATAAAAGGAGTGGTCATTCATGCGTCCCACCAGCAAAATTGGCCAAAGTGATGAGATTTATTGGTCCTTGCAAGTAGGTGAACTGAAATATAGGCCAACCAGTCGGTGTACTATGTTTGTAAAACAATTATGTTGTACAAGTTTCACTTTTGTATCTCCAACAGTAAAAAAATTTTTTCATCAAATTTAAAAAAAAATGATTTTCCTCAACGGTAACGCCCAGTGAAATGGTACAATCTAGAGTCTGTTCTCATTTTGGTGAAACTTTTGGTAAATTCTCGATTTGATATTGATTTGGTGAAACCGTTGGAGCACCAAAAAGTCATTTTTTTACCAAAATTTAAATCTGATGCCAAGTGTGATGACGCGTTGGAGATGGTCTAAGGGCAAGTTTTTTTTCGTGCTTCACTACAAGCACGATTGGGTGGTATTCCATGATTTTGGTGGAGTAGATGAGAGTCATAATTTTATGTTGAGTGATGCAGAATAATATAGATAGCAAACCTTACTTGTTTCCACTTTTTAAAAAACACTTTTTAGAAAATTCTACTTTCTTATTTTCTGTGTTTTTTTGTTTTTACTAATTCTTTTAATATTTTAAGCAGTTTTTTTACTTTTCAGACACACTTAACATAAATACACCTAAAAAATAAAAAAATTGTAAAAAAAATCTTTTAAAAATTCACTAAATGCCAAAAATACAAAAAAATACAAGAATTCAGTACATTTTTTGTATTTTTATGTATTTATTAATTTTTTAAAATATTTTTTCACAAATTTTTTACTTTTTAGATACATCTAAGTATACATCTAAGTAAGGTGCATCTAAAAAAGTTAAAAAAAATGTTTAAAGTTTAAAAAATATTCACTAAAACAAAAAAATACGAAAATCAAAAAAATCAGTTTTCAAAAAATTTAATTCAGGAAACTCAAACCAAACACATTGCAGATTTTGGTTATTAACATGATATTCTTGAGGTAACAAATAATTTTCAATAATTAAGAGATGATGTTTATTAACAAAATAACAAACGTAAAGAAATAACTAGAGTAACCACTCGTATAGCAGCAAGTCTAATAATTATCTGATTGATTTATGTGTTCGTAATTTAATTAAAAGATAAAAAAATTTCATAATTAGGGAGAAATGATTGGATTGATTACCATGACATAAATGAGAGACGACAAAGTGAAGGTCCAGAAGCGACCAAGGTAAGCATCTGCTATGTAGGCACCAAAGATTGGTGTCAGCCAAACCGATCCAGACCAGTTGTTGACATTCCTCACTGATGAAATCGTGTCTTCATGAAATTGTGTTGTCAAGTAAACCACTAGATTCGCAGCTATTCCGTAGAAGGCCATTCTCTCAAATGCTTCATACCCTGCATATAACAGAGAAACCCCTTATTTCTAATTAAAAAATAATTGAAATTACAAAATTTTAAGATTTATATATTTAAATGAAAATTTCTATTTTAATGATGTAATAGAGATGATCGGAGTCCTATCACTATCATCATGGAGAACTTCATGTAACAATACTACATGATCTTGTCATCAAAAAATTCTACCTCTTTTGTTATATTTCACTCCTCATCTTCTTATGTTTCAAAATTCGCCTAATTCGAGATTTTCACGTAATTTAATAACAGTGAATGAAATGAGATAGGTGAACAAAAGGTTTTTGAAACAGCGGATGTTTGACCAATTTATGTACAAGACTACGAAATAAGTAAGAATGTAAACAAGCCGAGTCAAGTAATGAATTGTTTAATCATAAATTTTCATAGCTAAAGTTATCTAGAAAACCTAACAGAAGGTGAAAGAAAGTTTTTGTTACCCTTATTCTAACAAATGAAAAAAATAGAAAACAAAAAACTAGAAGATGAATATATGTATATATGTTTATACCAACTAGAAAAGCACAAGCTTTCCATTTGCCAGTTTTCGAAGTGAGGACGGGCTGGCCACGAAGATCGACAGTGCCATCTTGGGTGTAATCTTTGGATTCCATTGAAGAAATTAAAAATATTCAGAATCTGTGATTTATACAAATAGCAGTGAGTGAGAGCGAGTAGTGATGGTGATCAGCTGAAAGAAGAAGGTAAGCTAAGCTATAGCTGAAAGTCTGTTGGAGTGGGAGAGTAGTGGATGCGAAGTTAGTATAAGTAGGGAGTGAGTGAACCTCAAGGTTGGATTAGTTGGCACAATTTAGGGTTTGGGGTGTGCTCCTTTTACATTTCATATTTGGCATGTTTGATTTGGTAGATTAGAGTATGGGATTGGAATTATTAATCTGTGGGCGTAATTATTCTATGTTTGTTTTAATATTTTGGTTTAGGATTATTAATCCAATGGATAATTAATTCAATAAATTTGTAGGATTATTAGTAATAGGGCAGGGATGGGATTAAAGTCCAATGGATATTAATCCAATTGGATAATGAATACCACACTAATTTAATAAAATTATTAACACTTCACTATTAGTCTTGTGAATCAAACATGATTGGATGGATTAGAGCATGAGATTGAGATTATTAATCCGTGGGCTCAATTATCTTATGTTTGTTTTAACATTTTAGTTTAGGATTATTAATCCAATGAATAATTAATCCAACAAATTTGTAGGATTATTAGTAATGGGGTAGGGGTGGGATTATTAATCCAATGGATATTAATCCAATTGGATAGTGAATACCACACTAATTTAATAAGATTATTAATACTTCACTATTAATCTTGTGAATCAAATATGACCTGTTTCAATAAGTTTTTTGAAATCAGTTCACACAAGGTATTTATTCTGACTTTAAATGGAGCCTCGCAAATATGTGTTGGGATTGGTCTTTAGAATTAGTCGAGATATGCGTAAACTTATCTAAACATCCGGTTATTAAAAAATAAAATAAGTTAGGGTAGAGAGTGAGTGTTGTCACTAGTGGGGTTGGTGGTTTTTTTTTTTTTTTTTCCTTATGGTTTATTTATTTATTTGTGTGTGTGTGTATTTTTTTTTTTTTTGTGTTGCTTTTTTAAGAGATTAAAAAAAAATTAATTTATTTAAAAAATTGCTAAAAAATTATTTTTTGTGAATAAAAAAATTAATGTGACATTTATCTTTTAATTCATGACAAACAGTTTAGTAAATCTTAATTTTTTTAAATAAAAAATTAGCTTTTTTTGGGTTGTCACCCAAACACCCTCTAAATTCAAATCATATATGATGACTTTGTTTAAGTATTAATGGAGCCCACTTCCAAACGCGAAAACAATCACACGTAATAACCCAGGAATACCATTGGTAATGTGTGAAAATTATACAATAATCCTTGACAAAATCTTGAATTCCTCTTCAATTCTTTATTTTTCCAAGCTTTTTCTTTAGCCTTTCTTTACCATTTTCAGCACATGAATTCTAAGCTTTGAAATCTCTCTCTCTACAATGTCTCAACTCTTAAACCTTTTTTTTTTTTTTTTTTTTTTTTTTTTTTTTTTGGTGTAAATGCTCTCAGCACAATGACAATACATACATCTCACTCTTCCATTACACACCACGTGTGCACATGGACACTAACACATTTCATTGAGGCTCCAACACATCACTCACATGCACACACACCCACAGTAGATTTCTCAATACACCCACACCCATAAACACTCACTTCTAGACTCTTACATAATTCAATTTATATTTTTGCTTAATTTAATTGAGCAACCCTTAATTTTAATAAATCTTGATTAACACATAATTAAATTAATCAAACCTAATCACAATCCCACATAATTTAATTGGTCTAATTTGACTTCCATTAATGCCCAATTAATTTTGTTTAACTTATCATTCTGAATCAGATTTCAAATCAAACTCCCAAAAGGCTCCAAATATCAAATTAAACTTATTGAGCTCATCAATTTTGGTTTCTCAAACCTTCAAGGCCTTCAATTTCAGATCAAACTCAAAATCTCTATCTATAAATTTACATATTCAATTGAGCACCTCATAAATAAATTTAGTTCATAATAATCTAAATTCTCAATCCTCACAATTCAATTAACTCCAATTCGGACCCAATTGATCAAACCTTAGTTTTATTAAACTGAATCGAATATTTAATTACACTTTCATAGGGTCCAATACTTGAAATTAAACTGATTTAACTTATCAATTTCACCTCCTTAGGCTATTTGGATGTTCAATTTCTAATTCTAAAATAAATCCTTAATAAAATAATTTATAAATAACAAATATTGAACACCCACAAAATTATTATTTATTTATTTATTTATTTATTTATTTAATATCCTTGTTAATCCTTAATAAAATAATTTATAAAGAACAAATATTGAACATCCACAAAATTATTATTTATTTATTTATTTATTTTAATATCCTTGTTAGTGATTGAATTGTGTTAATTTAAAATTAACTTTTACACTAATACATATTTCAGATAGACTCTGGATAAAATTAATTAATTTATTTATTTATTTTCTTTTAAGAATAATAAAATGTGGGTTTTCACAATGTCCTTGGCGGAGGTATATCATTAGTACCTAAAAGTTGTTTTTCACGTAAGGTGAGCCAAAACCCAGTAGGAATACTCTAACACAGTATATGAATCTTAGTAAAATCATAAGGTAAATGCACAATGCATGCCCTTTTCCAAACATTTCCCATTTTCCATCTCAAAACTATGTAATGCTAGATTATATGTCAATTCATGAAAAATAATTCTTTTATACAGATAATAGAGTGGTGGATACAACACACTAGAAATCTCTAGATACGTGTCTGCAAGTAGGCTATACAACCAAAGCCATTTTATCGATACTAACCAAAAGGATTGGGTTTTTGGACTTTCACTAAGGACACACAGGCTAACTTAATAAAACCACAACCACACGCCCTAACTAGATTCATCACAGTATTCACCTCATTTTTTCTCAAAAACCAATACATTTATAATGTTCGATATAAAATGATACTCAATGCACAATGTATGAGAAATTAGTTTCAATTTAACATAATACTCATGCAATGTCTACAACAATGAAGACTATCATCCACCAATAGCCCAAAACAAATATTTCTATTCAATAGATAAATTCCAATCAAAATACATTTTTATCAATTCCAATAAGAGTGATAAAACATATCCAACTCCACCATCATCATGAACATAATCATTATTTTAATTTCACAATTTTCAATATCAAAAATTAGGGCAAAACCCCATTTTCTTTCCAAAATCAATTTTGAGAAAAGCTTTCCACTATTTCCAAACAACTCATTCGCAATCATATTCTTATAACCATTTTCAAGAATCAATTTGGAAAACCCCTCTTTTGATTTCAAACCAAATCCTAGGTTTTACCAAAATCTCCCAAGCACATGACCATTTTGAAAAGACAAATAACTAAGCTAAAAATTATAAAAAGAGTCAAAGAAATCCCTACCTTAAAGGAGAAGACCAAAGGAAAACATATAGCGACTCTAATTTAAACCTGACCCGTTTATTGTCTTGTATCCGGGTTTTCTTGCCTTGATGGTTATTAATGTCTTCTTCCATCTTATTCGTTATTGAGTTTGGTTATTGGAGTGCCTTGGTTGTATTTGAAATAGGTTAGGAGTCCGTTCTAAAAGAGTTGATTGCCCAGAATTTTGCTCGTTCGCTCGAGCGACGTTTTTTGCGCTCGAGCAGTCTTTTATAGTTTGCAAACTACTGAGAGTTTGATATCTATGCTCGAGCGATGCTTCTTGTGCTCGAGTGAACTTTTGCAGATCCGAACTACTGGAAAAGGTACATTGTGCCCTCGAATGACCATTCTTGCACTCAAGCAGTGTCTTCATTGTGTTTGGTCACTCGAGCCACCATTCCTATGCTCGAGAGATCTACGCGTATATCAGTCCGAAGGAGGTCACTTTTGAGTCATTTTCTCATCTCTCTCTCTCTCTCTAAAACACTCCAAAACCTAGATCTACGTACTCTCTCTCTATAAACTCTCTCTAAAACTCAAATACATCTTGATCCGTTAATTTCTACACCATAGTCCATTTGATAATAAGGTAGAACTCACCTATGGCTTCGTTTTGATCAGAGTAAAGTTCGTTTTTCAGCTTTGTCAAGTTTCAACTCTTGTTCTTCTTGGTCCTTGTCTTTGAGGTAGGGATTACTTTGACTCTTTTTATGATTTTTAACTTAATTATTTATTTTTGTAAACAAGATTGTGATTTGGAAATTTTTGGATAAAACCTAGTGTTTTGGCTTTGAAATCAAAAGAGGGATTTTTAAAATGAGTCCTTGTTTATGATTGTGGCTTTGTAAAAATAGTTGGGTTGTGATAGAGGGTGGATTTTATCTATGGAGATTAATTTTTAAAGAAATGGGGTTTTTGCCGTAAATTGTGAATATTTGGTTTTGAAAAAGAAAAATAGAATTGATGTTGGTTTTATGGAATTGGAACAATGATGATGATGGTGGTAAAGTTGGATATGAATTATCACTCCTATTTGAAAATGTTAGAAAGTATATCTATGTTGGAAATGATTTATCTATTAAGATATTCTGTTTTGGGTTATCGGTGGTGGATAGTTATAATTGTTGTAGAAATTGCATGAGCATTAGGTAAATTGAAACTATTTTCTCATCCATTTGCATTGAGTATTGTAACACATTTAACACATTGAAAATGGTTATTGAAATGAAGAAAAAAATAAGTGAATACCATGGTAAATCTAGGTAGGAGTGTAGTTGTGGTATTATGTTGGCCTGTATGACGCGATTAGGTGTCGAGTTTTCTGGTTAATACTGGTAAAAATGAGAAATTGGTAGTGCTTGTAACCTATTTGCAGACACATCCTAGAGATTCACAGTGTTGTATCCATTACCCTATTTTTTATTGTAAAGAAAATGATTTTATAAATTATGATATAACCTGGCATTATATAGTTTTTTGGAAAGAGATATAATATTTTTGGCATAAGCACTGCATATGCATTCACCTTATAACTCTGTTAAGATTTATACACTATGTTATAATACCTTTACTGGGCTTTGGCTCACCCTATGTGGAAAACTATTTTCAGGTACTGATGACATACCTCCGTCAAGGCAATAGCTTGGGAAGACTTGGGGCCAAGAGCTTCTATTTTGTTATGATTGTAATTATTTTGTGCAAGTCTAGCGTTTTATTTGTATTGAGTTT